TTGGCGTTGGCCGTGATGGCGCCTGTGCCGGTCTTGCAGCTCTCTTGTATGCATTCACCATTGACGCCGGAGCTTTGTTCACACCAGAGTGTCGAACATTTCCCCTGACAGACTTGGATAAGCTGCCGTGGATATTTGCGATCTCCTTGACCTCTCGTCTAACCTTGCGCATAACCCCGGCGCCGCTGAGGGTCTTGGTGCGGCTACCACTGCCAAACATGAGAGAATTGGAAGTTCCTTCTCGAGGTCCATATCTTCTGGGGGGCCCTGTAGCGCCACTGCGTGGCAGCAGCCGCCTCTCAACGATCTTACTCGTGTTCTTCTCCCTGTCCTCCTTGAGCCCGGCAAAGGCGTCTTTAAGCTTCATGGCGCTCTCCTTGACTGACTCATCGTGTTCTCGTTTATACTTCTCCCAAACCTTGAACCATTTTTTGGGGTCCTGGGGTTTGTAGCCGCGGGCCCGGTATTCGATGGGAAAGTCTTTTTCTATAAGCTTCAGCCAGATCTCGCCCGTCTTGCCTTCAATCTGTGGGGAGTTGAGTTCGATGTGGCGAAGCTGGTGGGCATTCTCAACCCGGAGGAGAATCTGCCTGACGTTTTCGTAGGGGAGATAGTCGCCGACGCCTTCGAGCCCGCGGATATTCTTGATACAGGCGGCCGTGGCCAGGTCGACTAGCGATCGGACACGCATCGCGAATACAAGGTAGTTTTCTGTCCTTGGAAATAGCGCTGCAGTAGTTGGTAATAGAAAGCAGGAAGGTGCACTGGGTATTGAGTCTGGATATATCGATGCGAACGGTTGCGATCACGTCAGGAGAGACGCATTGACGGCCCGGTGAATGTTGGTTGAGGTCCAGTTCATGGTCTTGATGCTGGAGGGGAGAGGCAGGGGTATATTAGGAATCCCTTTCGAGCATGTAAGGGAAGGAAGGAGCAAAATCAAGCCAAATCAAAAGAACGGAGTCAGCAAAGGGTTGTCTGCTTTCGAACGAATGGCTGAGGATGCTTGCACGAGGAAATGTCATGTGGCTGAGTGAGAGGGAGAGGAGTGGGAACGTGCTATTTATATGGCCAGACGGAGACTTGGCTGGGATCTGAGTCTAGCATCTACATGCACCCTATCGGCATATTGACTTTGCCTATGGACTACTGCTGCATTAGGCTTCCACCCCGCTTATTTTCATTGACTCTGTTTTGACACTGATGAGGCGGGAGAAAAAGAAGATGGCTCGAAATGAGAAGTAGAGATTGACCTGGAGATGTCTCGGCGAGGTTGAGAATGGTTTGCATGCTCTGGGCAACTATCACGGAGACGGAGCCATCTTATACTAATAAGTACCTACTTCATCCTACCTAATCCCGATTGCCGAGGAGAATCTACCTGTGACCAAGGGCGGTAGTGCTGACACACGGCAGAAAGTTGGAGACAACCTTGATTGAATGCCTTGCCATCAAAGACGTTGTGTCATCAGGGTCTCGATTAGCACAAACCTACCTACCTAGGTAAGGTACATACTCCTATGGATGCTGGCATGGAAGACCTGCGTTTTGTCCCACATGAGGTGCAGCTGCTTGAATCTGGGGCGTAGCTGGAAACCTTGCGCTGGCCTGGCCCACACCTACGCCCGAACCCACTCTTAGTGGCCTTACCTAATTGAACGTAAAGCGCCGAGCTTGATGGCCCGCGCCTCCTCAGCAAGGTAGAAGGTTGGTGGACAAAGAGACAAGGCATCAACCTCTTTGCTCTCGTCACAGGAAGCGCCGACTTCCATCGCACCGTCGTTTCTTTCATGGCAATCTAAACGACGCCCCTTTCGATCGTTGTTTCCCTGAGCGCGAATCTCCCTTCAAGCCGGCTCGGCTCGCTCCTTCTCCGCGACCTGTTTCCACTATTCTCGTCGCCAAAATGGCCGACGCAGCCCACGTCAAGCCCGAGCCAGATGCCGACTCTTCGGCTGCTATCAACGCGCCCGCTTATGACGACGACTTGTACGAAGATGCTGGCGACCTGGAGTTCTATGGAGACACCGGCGGCGAGCTGAACTCGGAAAACCTCTATCTTGCGCGCGTGCCCAAGTACATCTGGGATGCCTGGATGAAGATGACCGAAAGGTTGGGCGATAATGACGAGATTCAGATTGGCACAATGCGAACCTGGAATGAAGAGCAGCCAAATGGAGGATCCCAGGTACGCAAATTGGATCTGCGTATTGCCCACCACTGTTTGACTAACTGTCGTTCCGTAGGTCAAGCTGCGACTCTTGCTTCACGACGGACAGCCTGAGCACCAGCTGCTACCCCGAGAATACGACGTGGAAGTATTAGATGGCCAGGTTAAGAACCACTACATCTTCAGCGAGCGAGATCTCGAGAGCTACAAGGCAAAGAACAAGGCGCGTACCGAAGCTGCGAATGCTGGCATTCCCATGTCGGTATTGAGGGCCAAGGAGGGCGGAGCTGAGAAACCACATTACGAGCGTCGAAACCGATTCCAGCCATACTATCGAAAGGCTATTCCCAGTCCGTGCTTGTTCTTTTCTTCATGCCAAACGCTTAATATCACATACTAACCGAGTGTTCTTCTAGAAAAAACCAAGATCACAGGCAAGATTAACTACGACGTGCGTCTGGAGCCCCGAGATAAGACCGAGGAAACCCGATTGCTCGCGCAGCGACTGTTGGAGGCGGATACAAAGGCAGGCGTCCGAGTCATCAGTCGCAACAGGGCCTCGGCCATCATCAACCCTGGTATTGCTGGGTCCGCTGGATGGGGCAACAACTTCATTGTGAGTACATCTGTGCTTGTCTACCAGCGTGTTAGGGCAATGTGGTGGCAAAACTAATCTCGTCTCTGAAAAGAAAAACGCCGCACCAACAATCAAGCCAAAGAAAGCCGAGGTGGTCAAGAACGCGCGTCTGCCCAAGAACCAGCTTCTGGATCTTATTTTCGATTGCTTCAGGCAATATCAGTATTGGTCTATGAAAGCCCTTCGACAAAGAACCCAACAGCCCGAGGCTTGGTTGCGTCAAGTGGTCGATGAGGTGGCAGTCCTCATCAAGAGCGGTTCATTCGCTAACCACTACACCTTGAGCGATGCCTACCGGGACAAGGCAGGAAGCGAGTCCAAGGAGGAGGCCGCAGCAGCGGAGGAGGAGGATGATGATGATGACGAGGAGATGGAGGATATCTTGCCAGCTTAAGTTGATCTCTACAGTTTCTAACTTCTCGGTGCTCTCTTTTTCTGGCGTTTGATATGGAGGTTTCTATTTTGCGACCTATTCTATTCTTTACAGCTATAAGGGAAGTCAATTTGATACCCTTCGCAATAGACCAACACAAATAAGGAAAGCAGTCGAGACTGCTTTTCACATAATGCCCTTTCCCGTTAGTTGGAGGGCTTCTGGAATAACAATTTGAATGCATTTGAGATTCAATTCAATCAATCAATATCCAGGTAGATGTCTGTTTGTATTATTTCACCAGTGAGACCCACAAGCCAATTCATTTACCCACCATCCTCTCTATGTTTACATGTCCTTGTCTGCAGCCTCAAACATTTATTGGTGAACCGATTGATTCGTGGATTAATAAAAGGAGGCGGGTAGCTTTTTACTTTCAAATGCCCTAGTGACTGACTATCTATCCGTCTGGGGGCTCTCCTCTCCCATCACGAGACACATCGTACCAGCCAAATGCTCCGCAAGCTCCATCTCCATCTCGATCGCAAACTCTCCCCTCGCAAACCCATCTTCGCTCCAAACCACGCGTTAAGAGCCACCATGCGTCTCATATTCGATTTTGACGGAACAATTACCGAGAAGGATACTATATCTACTTTTGCCAAGGCGGGCATTGCGCACCAGCGCGCCTGCAATGGCGAGGATCTCTCGGCCCGTTGGGATGACGTAGTTCGCAAATATGTGGAGGACTACCGCCGTTACCAAGAGTTGTATCCCACCCACGAGACTGATCGGCGCACCCTATCGGACGAGATCAAATTCCTGGCTGGCGCCGAGGAAGTAGAGGTCTCATCCTTACAGAGGGTTGAGCAGTCGGGCGTCTTCGCAGGGCTGACCTCGTCGGATCTGTTCCGCATGGGCTCCGAGGCCGCGAGTTCGGGAAGAATCGTCCTCCGGCGTGGTTTCAAGGAGCTCCTGAGCGCTGCCGAGGAAAAAGGCTGGGACGTTGGCGTGATATCCGTCAACTGGTCCTGCGCATTCATCCAGGGCGTTCTCGACGACCCGGAGTTTCATGTTCTGGCTAATGAGATCTCCCAAGGCGGAAAGATAAAAGGCCCAGATTGCCTGGGGAGACCGCTAACAAACTGTTCTGGAAAGCTCCATGTGTATAGAGGGGAGTTTAGAGCCAGGGATGCGGCTGAAGACACTAAAGATAGCACTCCAACCGTTTACTTTGGAGACTCGACAACGGATTTGGAATGCCTGGCAAACGGCACAGCGGGTGTTTCGATCACATCCGATGATTCAAACTCAACGCTAGTGCAAACACTCCGAAGACTAGGCTTCCCGGTGCCGCATGCCTCAAAAGGAGGACGTGGCGACAACAAAGCAGGGGCAAGCATATGCTGGGCGCGGGACTTCCAAGAAGTGCTCCAGAGCGGGTTTCTCGAACAGTTTGAAAAGTAAGGCTGCTCAAAGGGACCTGGCGGTATATTGATACTATGCAGCTACCCGCGTGCCCGTTGTTTGTGCTCGAAGTCACAAGTAAACAAACAGTACTTTGATGACGCGCATCAGCCTATACAATGACCATGTTTACGTGAACAGCACTGATTAACTCAAAAACATTTGAAACACGGCGGCTTTGGTTTTCCTATTCACTTTCAGAATGCATGATTTCTTCTTTCATAAGCGACCGCATGCTCCTTTCTGCTGTTGTTTCTCAATGCAGGCAATTCTACTGTTCATTGCACCAACGGGCCTCTTCCTCAGAGGGTGATATTTACTGCTTTAATTCGATTATTTTCATCGAATCGATAATGTGCACCTACAAACGGTTTATTTTCGAATGCAAGCATGTCGTTTGGACCGGCCGTGTGAAACAGTGCACGATTGGTGAGGACTACCAGCAGCGTGACATAGTCCACGATTGCATGATCAAGGAGGGACATCCGCTACATTCTCGAAGGCTACTGCAGGATTGTGAGAGATGCGTCAGGCTAAAGAAGGCCTCTGATGCCTTTTGGGTGAACATCCAAGAATGCCGTGACGAGTGTACTCAGGTCATCCTGTCCCATCCGACGAACGAAGGGGGGAAAGTTGATACCAAGCCTATGGATGAAGAGGACATGGAGTATGGAGGGGAACATGATGCAGAATCTCACCAGCACTCTACACCAGATTCTACAACCAAAGTAGACCAGGATTCTCGAGAGACGGATAACCAAGACGGTTGGGTCTATTCGCTAAACGGCCGTCTTCAGACCTGCGGGAGAGATGTGGAAAGAGATATCGAATCCTTGAGTCTGCCAGACACCGAGAACATAGAGCCTCAGACCTTGGCCGAGAAAGATGGCTCCGCAGTTATATCTTTTCGTGTTTCAGAACAGTTCAAAAGCTACATCCCCCAGCAACAAAAGACCGACAGCCGACTCCCAGAAGCACTTCCGAATATGAGAAATCTGGGAATACCGAGCGACACCAAAATACAGATCAACCAAAAGTCAAATACTGCGTCAGACAAGGATCGAGAGACCGTGAGAATCACATCAACTCTTCCAACCCTTCGCGCCATTCCCAAGCCCAAGTCAATGAAGGTTGATGTGGACAATCATCACCCGGGTCCCACATCCCGACAATCTATACCAATAGCCCGCAAACCATCGGTTGGAAAAGTTATGCGACTTCCTCAGCCGACTAGGGCAATGAGTGTCGGTTTGAACGTACCAGACAGGTCTCTTATCTAGGTATTTTGACACGCTATCGAAGGCAAGGTAGATGGGCCGACATGATACTTGGTTTTTTTTTCCTCTCATAAAATGGAGTGGTTTCTTTGAATAACATAAACATAGTCCCTTTTCCCCTGATTACATGCATGTCTGCCTCTCCGACCATGTGATGGCTCTCTCGGTATCATATACCCACCAAAGTAGAGAAGGCTGTCCCTTACATATAGAGATAGACAACTTGACAACCCAATCCTCTCTTTGGTCCGGGCCAGACTAAGTCTAACTCCTAGAACCTCCTGTAGCACGATCGATATTGAACGCAGCGCTGATGAGAGCGAGGTGGCTGAAGGCTTGAGGCGTGTTTCCGAGCTGCTCTCCAGTGCGGGCGATCTCTTCGGAGAACATGCACAAGTGGTTCGAGAAGCCTAGCATATTTTCGAAGAGATTGATAGCTCGGATCCGGTATTTGGGCTCGTAGATACTGGCACGTATCATGGCTTCGACAAGCCAGAATGTGCACATGCTGAAGGCCCCCTCTTTCCCTCCAACTCCTACAGATGGGAAGACAATTAAATTGTTAGTTGATGATTTCTCATTTGGAAAGCCAGAAAAATGTATGCTATAAGAACTTACCATCCTCCGAGAGCTCAGTATCATATCGGTGCACCAGACCTGTTTCTGTTAGACCACCCTTCTCGGGTGGTAGTAGAATCTTATCAAGAGTGTTCATGAATCGAGGATCACATGGCGAAATGAAGAATACCAACGGAGCGATAAGAATGGATGAATCAAGTGCTGTGCTTCCGTAGCTCTGGACAAATGTCTGTGTCTTGGTGTCGTATCCTTGGTAGAGGGTTAATCCACTGCGTGATCTATATGTATGAAGGGCCTGAAACTCACCCTTTTCCATGATCTCTTCGTACAGACTGTCTCGAGCGCGCATCCAATTCTCGCGGTTAGGACATGGGAAACATCTCTTCTCGGCGAGACGCAGGCCTCGATCAAAGGCAACCCAGAGCATAACCTGCGAATAAGTGTATCGCTGCTTGTTGCTTCGAACTTCCCAAATAGACATGTCGGGTTCTAGTATCGGTTAGATCTTTCTATTCAGACAGGAAGAGTACCGAATGAAGACATCCGACCCAGAGCCACTTACCGTGCATAATCGTAAGGACATAATCAAGGATTTCGCGTACAGCCTTCCAAATCTCCCAGTGAACAGGTTTCCCGTACTTGTTATACAGGTAGATGGCGTCCATCAGCTCGCCATAAATATCGAACTGCTGATGAAAAGCAGCCCCGTTGCCAATGCGAACCGGCTTGCTTCCCCGATAACCTTCGAAGTGGTCTAGGGTGATCTCGGGGATATCTGTGCCTCCGTGGATGGTGAACATAATGGGAAGGCCTCCATCTGGAAGCCGGGAGTGCACGAAGCGCTCCATTATGAAGTTCATATACGCGTCCGCTTCTTCTTTGAACCCGAGTCGCAGGAGGATGTAGATGGAAAAACTCGCATCTCTCACCCAACAATATCGATAGTCCCAATTTCGTACCCCTCCAACTTCTTCAGGGATAGAGAACGTCGGCGAGGCAACAATGGCCCCGGTAGGTTCTGCACGAAGAAAAGGATATAGGATCAGTACTTGATATATTGCTCTCTCAGCAACGTACGTACCGAATGTCATCATTTTGAGGAGCATCAGACTTCGTGACACTACCTCCATCCATCGGCCGCGATACTTGGACTGGCTGATGAAGTTGTACCAGAAGCTCTGGGTGTCATGCTGCTGCTGATCAAGCACTAGGGTAGTGATACGTTCGGTGACATGACTCTGAACATCATTACGCAAGACGAATGAAATAGCTTGGCCCTCCTCAATCTGGATACGAGCGACTAAGCCTTCTCCAAGAAGCCCGGGTCGCTTCACCTTCTGGAAAGTGATGGTCGGGCTGCCGATATCATCATCTCCCCGGTCAACCGCAACATCAAGCTGAAGTTTTTCATCCTTGCTGTGAAACGTGGCAGCCTTGCTCTGGTGAGTATCTGCTGTGTGAGTTTCAAGAAGAAGAGTGGTTTCGTGAGGGTCTCTGCCGTAGCCAAAAGCAGGAAAGATTTCAATGTCTGCCAGAATTTGTAAGCTTATAACAAGGCATTTGGATACTGGAAATAATTTGCAGAGCTACTACTCACCAAGAGTAAGGGATCCGCGGATGCATTCGACCCGTCTCACCAACCACCTTTTGAGCTCCTCTTGAACCTTGGTTGCTTCTCTGTACGAGCTCTGAGTGTTGGCCTTGGTCATAACATGGGCATCTTTTGGACGAGGAAAGAAGTCAACCAAATCAACAACGCCGTCTTCATGGATGTAGCGGGTCTGGAGAATGCATGAGGAGGGTAGATACTGCTGCTTGGTGGTACAGCTGAGCGAATCTGGGGGACTGATACTGAAATACCCTCCCTTGTCCTTGTCCAGCAGGCGACAAAAGATGGAGGGCGAGTCAAACTCCGGCCTAAGATCCAGGCACAATATCAATCTGTTAGCTGAGACTGGCTAGGATGCATTTCATATGACATGGACTGGTGGCTTCATATGATTTAATGAGTTGAAAGATGGGCCACTCACCAGCACATAAAATCGACGCTCCCGTCAACACCAACCAATGCGCAGGTGCGCATGTTCCCAATCATGCCATAGTCCTCAATTGGCAGGTAGCCGCCAGTTTGAGCACGGCGGGACAGGCCCGGGTGGGCAATAGGGCATTCTGTACCCATCTTGGCTCGGCACTGGAGCACAGATGAGGAACCAGTGGGCAATCCGGTAGATATTTACGGTAGAGCCGGTAAAGGCAGCTGGTTGACAAGGTGCGATAGGCTCTCTCCTGCCTTGTGTTCTGGTCTGGGATCCGGGCGCGGCAGTTGCGGAGGAGGAGTAGAGCAGGTTAATGGGCAATTGAGCTTATTTAACGGCAAGGCAAAGGGCACAGCTCAGCAATCTTGCGCGCGGTTTCCTTTCTAGGTAGCTTAACGAGCAACAAAGCACACAGACACATGTGTTGTATACGCTACGAGAGAGGTTCAAAGCTGGCAACAAATGTATGACGAATTTCTTACTGTACATGGTTAAGCCCGAGGTATCCGCCTGTACTCAATCTCAGCCAAAGACGTTGGGCGGGATGTACCTGCTATCAGCCGCTATCAGCAGTAGTAATGACTCTGTCACAGCTGATTCATCCATCGCAAGTGCCGTTCTCTTCCAATTGCCCATTCGCTGGCTTTTATACGCATCTACACCATCCTCAGGATGCGCTTGGCGTAGACTAGGGAGCTTACTGCTCAACCCCCGCAATGCTCGATCTGGCGCGCGATGGTAGGGAGCAATAATCTGGGGTAATTACCTGGGCTAGCGAGGGAGAAGGATGGACAGGGCTCTGGCCTCCCTACAAGTTTTGCTCTGGCCTGCTGATGGAATTCGAGTCTAGGGAGGGCGAGCAAGTCAGAAGGTACCAAGGAAGATGATTAAGCTCAGGTTTGACCAGGTTGCCAGATTCCCTTGTCCAATAATTCCCCATTTCTCGCTTGGCATGCATCCGGTCGGCAAACTCGCTTGCATCTACCCTGTAATGAGGTAGCAATGCGCTTCGCGCCCTTGCAGTGCAATCGAGTCACCGGTTGCTACCTCGTGGATGGATTGCCGCAAGCTGGGAGTCTTGGGGCCCCCCAAATTGCGATCCCCCTCAGGGCCACCACCCATACCCACCCCGGATCGAGGGTCCCGAATCGGATGCTGTCCCAAGATGTGGAGGAAATGGGAGGAGTGGTGGAGATTAACAAGGCTGGTAGACTTGGCCAATCTTGGCAACCACCACACCAGGAGGAGAGGGGGACTGATTGATCACCTGGCGTTTTTCCTCATCTGCTTTTGGGGTTGGGGTAGCTCAGACTCTAGGTCGAGGCTAGACAAAGCTGTCATGGCTTGCGAAATGCGGGCCGGGAGCTTCCATGTGATCGATGAAGGGGAGACACCAGTTGGGTAAAGGACTGGGACTGTGTGATGGATCCTCTCCCAATATTCTCAGGCAGCCCAGTCCTTATTATTCCTGTCTTGTCGTGTGACAGTGGAGGCAGAGGCGACCAGCCACACACACACCGTTCATCAGAGGCTGGACTGACCACGGCCGGTCAGGGAACGGAAGGGCAACTGATTCGTAGTTACTAAGCGGGGTAAAGTAGCTAAATTGCCCGACAGGCACGTGTAGGTACCTAGGCAAAAGAACACACCGCACAGTATGGATGTATCCATGGCATCATTGATCTCTTCTGAGCATCGGCAGGGGAATGGCCACTTGCAAAGGAAAAACAGCCCGGCGACGGACAGGCGGTGGGCTGTTTTTTTAGTGGCTCTCAGCGGGGACTCAGCGGGCATCCAGCACGTCTGTCTTGCCGAAAGGCCCTGAGACTCTAGAGGGAGCGAACCATCCGGGTGGATGTGCCGCTGTGGACAGTGCATCCATCACCGCCAGAAGAGTGCGCGGCTGACTTGGCCGCCAAGACTTTATTATGGAGGATTTCTCATCCTTCTGCGTCGTGCATGTCATTAATCATGTAATTATAGTCGTTGTGCCAGCTCATTCGTGCATGTGTGGAGGTAGGTAGGTATAGGGATGGATGATGGTGATATTGCAGCGAACAGTCAGGTTGCTTCTCAACTCCTCCTTCTTTGATCCAGTGCATGTTGTCGTGCCTTGATGCCAACGCAACGGGGCAACGGTTGTACTGAAGGGAACTGACAGATGTCGGACGTATTTAATCAATGCGCCACGCTAGGGATGTCTCACAAGAGACTGGTTCGGCTCAAGCCACCAGATTGTGCAAGCATATGCATGCACTCTAGGATGGTACCCATTTGCGTTCACCTCACACACACTCACCGCACCGTCCTCTGGCATGACTGGATCTGGTGAGCTGGTTTGCCCTGTTTTCATGCAATCCAGCGCTGTGCAGCCAAGTCAACCGTCACCGCGGCTTGACTGTCCCCATGTGGTTGTTAGTCCAACAAGGTGCAACCTGAAGAACGGTCGACAAGCCACAATAAGAAGCTCCTTGGCCTCCCCACCTGAAATGGTCGGTCACATACGGCTCCGAGATTCAACTTAGACATGTTGGAGTAATTATATTAATAGTATGACAGAATGAGCCTTGGGAAGAAAAACACTCTACTGGGTAGCACGACATGAGACTTAGACAGGAGGTGTGAGGGCCAATTAGTCAGTTGTTGATGCAACAGTCAGAAGATCTGCCAAAACATAATTAAGGCGATCAACACATCCGTAGCAAACATGGAAGACCTGTTGCTCGCTGCCGAGTTCGGTGGTCAGCTGACTGGGGTAGGGAGTTGGTAGCCTCCACCAGCGCACACTCCTAGTCCTGATCATTCACAAGTGTAGCCCACACGCAGGACGTAGTGCATTGGGGTGCTCTGCTTTCACAATTGTCTTCAAGCCTGGCGCTGCAGGCGGCGGTAGCCTGGCCTCTTCCTCAGGAGTTACAAGCAATAACAACGACGCTGGCCTATCAACGAGTCTGCTGATTACCTAATTAATTCCTGCCAAGTAGGTAGGTTGACTCTGGTCAAATCCACCCACACAAGCCACTCATCAAGAGCCAATCTAGACTAAGCAGGGGCGGGACGGGAGGCCAGCCAACTGCAATGCCCACTCGTCCCAGAACTGTAAAACATCCCCGTCAATGATTGTCGCTCTCTCTCTTGGCTGGTTGTGGCGAGCTGCTGGTTAGTTCAGGCACCGCACCGCACTACTCTCTCCCCCGATCCACGATTGTACATATATATTCACATGACGGGCCCATGATGCCCACCACTCGGTCCACCCCGGGGGCTTCTTCCTCTTCTTTCCCCTCTGCTCCCTCCAATCTTGCCTCCCAAGAACCTCCTTCTCTCCTCGACTCACCCGCGAACCTGACCGGTGGCTCGTCCTCCTCCTTGTCCCCTGCCGGTCCTGCCGGCCCTGCTTCAACTAGATCATATTCCCCAGGACAGTCTTCGACTCGGTCCCGAGCAGGGAGCTCAGCACGCGACGACATCGAGATGGAGCCCATCACTGGTCATCGACGGCGCAAGAGTAGCTTGATGAGCCCCATCGGCGGCTTGCCTGCGTCCCCAATTGGGCGCCCCAGATCTCAAAGCCTCCGTACTTTCCACCACAGCCGCCATCCCCCCATTGCTGCTGGCACCGGCCCAAGCTTCAACGAGGAGCCAAAGATTTCCGAAGAAGCGTCGTCGCCAATTGGGTTTTCCAGGTCGCCAAACGAGGAGCGCTTCACCGATGGCTACAGCGACGACGACGATGCTACTCTACAAGACGACGAGGAGACCGGTCTGTCCAAGAAGGAGAAGAAACGTAGGCAGAAGAGAAAAAGGAGGAACACGCAGCTCGATCAGCGCGTTGTCAGAGACAAGCCTCTTTCGCGGGATGAACAAAAGGAGGTGGACAAGAGTCTTGTCAAGCGGATCGCAATTAACATTGCCTTGATCCTCTTGTGGTATATCTTCTCGCTATCCCTTTCATTGGTAAGTGCTATCCCGTTGCCGGCATTCAATTGTCTTGTTTTTGTGCCTGCCATACCAAATCCCATCAGGGGACACCATACTAATGCTGAGCCTTATGCAGTACAACAAATGGATGTTTGACAAGAACAAACTCAACTTCTCCTTTCCCCTTTTCACGACCTCCATGCACATGCTGGTCCAGTTCGCCCTGGCTACGCTGGTTCTCTACTTCATCCCCAGCTTCCGACCACAGGCATCCCGGAATTCAGATCTGGGTAGATCAAGACACGAGTCGGAGCCAGCGAATGCTCCTATCATGACCAAGATGTTCTACTTCACAAGAGTTGGTCCCTGTGGAGCCGCCACTGGCCTCGACATTGGCCTGGGGAACATGTCACTGAAATTTATCAGTCTTACCTTTTATAGTGAGTCTCAGCTCCCACAATTCTCCTTGAGTTGGACTCTGTTTGAGCATGATGCTAACATGAATACTAGCTATGTGTAAATCATCGTCTCTTGCATTCGTTTTAATCTTCGCCTTTATATTCCGCCTCGAAACCCCGACCTGGCGACTCGTTACTATCATCACAGTAATGACAATTGGAGTAGTCTTGATGGTGTTTGGCGAGGTTGAATTCAAACTCGGTGGATTCGCTCTCGTCATTTCAGCCGCATTCTTCTCTGGCTTTCGCTGGAGCTTGACCCAAATCCTCCTACTCCGTCATCCTGCCACCTCAAACCCTTTCTCGAGCATCTTCTTTATCAGTCCAATAATGTTTGTGATTCTCTTTGCATTGGCTATTCCGGTTGAGGGATTCGGCCCGCTCTGGGAGGGATTCGGAGTCCTCACTGCTGCATACGGCGCATTTCTTGCACCTCTCTTCTTGCTGTTCCCGGGGTGTATCGCGTTCCTCATGACTGCCTCCGAGTTCGCTTTGCTTCAGCGCACCTCAGTAGTTACCTTGTCCATCGCTGGAATTTTCAAAGAGGTCGTCACTATCTCGGCTGCTTCTCTTGTGTTCCACGACAAGTTGACCCCTATCAATGCGGTTGGACTTGTCGTCACATTGATCGCGATTATTGCCTACAACTACATCAAGATTTCCAAGATGCGACAAGAGGCACAGGAGCAGTCTGAACCACGCTACCAACAAGCCTCTTCAATGCCATCTAGCGATACCGATAGCGATGCCGACGATGACTCGTATGAAGAAACGGCAGGCCTGCTACCCCCGAACATTGATAGGAATAGCCCAATGGTCACCTCGGATGGTGATTTCCAACCGAGTGTAATACCCCAAACAGGACCAGAGCCAAAGTCACAACAGGCCCCTCTCCATCACGAATAAAATAAAACATTCACTTATCCACGGCGAATGAACTAAAACGCCGCACTCAATCGTTTAGCGAGCATGTTTTCTTCTTGTTCTACTCCCATTTCTTATCATATACCATTGTATCACCATCTATTTGGATAAATATTCGTAGCCTTTTTTTTCTTACTGCTTGTAACAAGATTATACGGCCATACACCGAATCTGATTCATGTCCACGGAGGGTAAATTTCGTTTAAGCATCACTTGATGTGCCTATATATCAGAGTTGGAATTTAAAGGCAATGCAGGGAAGAAGAACCCGGCGGGACGAGGGAATTCAAGGTTATAGACACTTTGCATGATACCCAATATAAATGAGTTTTGAGTCAGTCTCCTTCCGAAGAAAAACGTTTTCATTTGTTTCCAACGATACCGCCAGTTTCGATTATATCTACATTTTGTGTTCAGTGCATTAAGGCTTGCAGCAGCCGTCAACATTGCTGACCGTCAGGATTTCTCATCCAGATCATGCTTCTGATGCTTGGATATCATGGCGATCACGGATCGTTTTCTCATTATTAAACCTTCCAAGCTTGACCCGCTATCTGGTCGCATTTGGCAACCCTAGCCAAGAAGTCGAAGCCCATTCTTCGTCTTCTTGCCAATCTTAGTGGCACCACCATGAGGACCTAGGTTGGGTTCATATCCACCACTGCCGCCGCCGCCGCTTCCATTGCCGCCGTTGTGGTTTTTCCTGTTGTTCTTATGGCGGCCCTTGTCCTTGTCCTTGGCATTTGTTACTTTGATCTCCGTCTTCGCCTTGCGGACCACAACGGGGTGACTCTGGATGTACTTGCCGTTCATCTCCTTGGCCGCCTGGAAAAAGTCGTCTGCATCACTGAAACTCACGAACCCGTACCCTTTAGACTTGTTTGTGCGCTTGTCCCGCACAACCCGTGATTTCTGCAAAGAACCCCAGCGGGAAAAGGCCTTGAACAGTGAGTCGTCGGTCGTCTCGCCAGCCAGGTTGCCGACGAACAGCCGCAGATGCGACTGGTCCCAGTCAAGAAGGGTTTCATCCGTCCACTTCTCGCCGCCGCCCTCGCGCACAACCGTCTTCTTTTTGTCCGGGTTCGCGGGCGTCGGTTCGGGCTTGGGCAGCTCCGCCGTCGCGACCGGCTTGCCATCCTTGCCGGTGGCGACGGGGTCCCGGGTCACGTAGCCGCTCTGCCATTGCGCATACTGCGCAGCTGCCTCGGGATCATAGTCGCTCGTGGTCGCAGCCGCACCGGGAATGGGGAAGGGGTTCTTTATGCTGGGTGGTGCGGCGTAGGACGTGGATGAGGGAGGTTGGTTGTAGGAATGGCTGTTGTAGCCCTGTGGTTGGCGCGAAGGCGCTGCCTGTCGCTGGTATGATGGGGAATAGGAGGGGGGCACATTCACGGTGCCGGGGGCGCTATAGGATGTGTATGAGGATGGGCCATACTGGCTCTGAGGGGGGGGGACAGGGCCGTGGATGGGGTTGGTGCCTGGGTATGCGCTTGCAGTTCGTGCGTAGGGCTGCTGCGGTAGTGTTGCTGAGCCGGCCGAGAATGATGGTTTGAAGCCGCCTTTGGTGAAGCCACCGGATCCGCCGTTGCTGCTGTCGTTGGAGGGAGGTGGTCGCGCGGGGAGGTTGCTTGTGCCTGGAGGAGGTGGGTAGGCCATGATGAACTCTCAGGGACAAGAGAGGAGACTCTCTCTCTCTCTGTTATAGTGGGACGTACCTGAGCCTTTTGGCTCAAAGCTGCTTTATCCGACAATAATATTTCGATGCCACTGCGTCGGGCGTTGATTCGAAGAGCGCGTCGTTGTCGTTGGAGAGGTGGACGAGACTGGGAGATCTCAGGAAATTCTGATGATGCAGTTGGTCGCCAAGGCAGCCAGCCATTCGCAGGTGCGGTCCAATCAGAAGACCCGGATGGTCGTTACTTGGCCCCACAACACTCATGGGCGCCGCAACGGTCGACAAAATAATGTCCTGCACCCAAAACATTGCACTTAGCTTCGCATAAACATGATGCCTGAATATTCCCAGACTAACAAGAATACTCGGACTGCTACGTACAAAATAAATAGTTATATTTCCTAGAATCACTGAATTTCGTTGTTGTATAGATTGGCTGTTGCGACTTGCCCAAATATAATGCCATGGCTTGATGTATCATGTATTTTGTCACCTCCAATAAGCACATTGAAGGTATCACCAAAGTCGCTACTAGTGAGCGTTTTAGAGGTCTCCAACAATCCGTATAAGACGTGTTATTCCTTTTCATCAAATATCGCATTCATCATACTCCCTCCAATTTTGCTGAATTCATCTTGCGTCAGTTTGCTAGCTAGATTGACCCGAATTGCATACGGCGTTGCCATGACTGAATCAAGCTCGAGCTGTTTCTCCTTTACAATCTTCATAATGGTGGACAGAAGAGCCTCCATGGGGAAAGGCCGTGCCGCGCGGTAGGTGCAGCCCATGGTATCTTCGTGGATGCTCTTGACAATTATATCAACAGCAGGTGGCCCTCCATAATACCCAGGATGACCGTCTTCCGTCACATCATCTTCAATAGCCTTTATTTCACCCGATTTGGGATCCACATACTTGCCGTCGACAACAGGCGTTTTGAGATCACCATGCCACCCAGGATCGTGGAACTGTAGAGAAGCCATAGTGGAAAATGTCTGCTAATGTTGGGGGTCAAAGAAGCAACTGAGCCTCCGGTTCTTGATAATCTTTTGGTTGGCTTGTTTGATAGAGGAAAGAAGGCAGTAAGTAATAGCATTATTCATTCAAGTCAATAAAAGGGAAAATGCGACACGTGACCGTGGGGGCCACAGCACGATGCCTCTCTTCCACTTCATCGGTCCTTGTGAAGAAAACATTCCACAGAGAGCAATGAGTAACTGGTATTCGACATTTTGTAGTTGACGGGATGGGAAAAACAAACTTGACAAATTAAGTCACGAAACACAGGCAAATTACAGATCCTTATATTGGAGACTTGAGCCGCAACCAGCTGGACTAGCCTCCGCCAGAGCTCCGTGTCGCTTATATCCTCGAGTTGCTAGAAGACCCACCCCCACCCATATTAGGAAATTAGGGGAGGAATTCGAGTCGGAGTATTTGCGTAGGGGAGCCTAGTTTTGCCCACGGGGGTACTAAGAAACGGAAAATCCCACGGGAAACCGCCCCAATGGTCGGCGTTCTGGCCGTTCTCTCCGGGCGAGCAAACGCCAGGGCAAGTCATATCTAATCCATGGTTTGGGGACGAATTGGGCCTCTTCGTCGGTGGTCGGCCCGCTGTGGGACAGTTAATCCGGATATAAGTCCGATGAGAAGGGAGATGGCGGTGCTTCTGGACCGGGCTGCCACACGACTCTGCGCTTAGTAGGCACTTGCCGTCGTCTTGTTTCATTAGGTGCCTCCTTTTGATGTTAACTTAAATTTCTTGTTTTGGATGTAGCTACTTGAGCGCGCGCTACTAGCAGCTGGGGGAGGCGAGTCGGGACTCTCTCATCAAAATACGACTTGTTCGGTGGGACCACTCGGCGGTTGTAACCAACCTAGGGGGGACCATGCTTGGGGTCAAAGACGGCCGTCTTCGCATCCCGCTACGGGCTAAGACCGTTGGGAGGTAAGCAGATTGTTGCTGGTGACTGGCGCCGGGATATATTCCAGACACCTGGACGAATGAATCCACCTCTTGCCTAGCATGTGGCTATGAAATCCCTCACAAGGCTTGTTTGTTGGGGTGGGAGGGAGGCTGGCAATGCTGGTTCCTGCTTCCTGGTGATGCGGCACTTTGTAAGAGATTACCCCACTGGTTGGACTGCATCTTACATGGCCCGACGTCACCGAAGTTGATTACTCTATCCAGACAAGCCAACGGAGGTGGTGGACCATTCCGATGGTTCCGTGAGCTTGGGAACAACAGATAGAACGTGCTTGTTTTCAGGTCACAAGATGCACTCCCCGGAGGCTGTACTCTCAATCGGATCTTGCTCGGCGCGGTCCTAGGGGGCAAAGGCACCCAGCCCAGGAGGCAACTTGCCCATCTCCTCGGCTTGGGGAGATCTCTTTTTTACTTGATTCAGGTGTTCCACAGGCGGTGGGTTTGCGATTCTTGAATGGGGGTGACTAATGCTAAATCGGACGGAACATCGGGACCCTGTCACCCTGATGCTCCCTGTCGATGCCCCTCCCTGGCCAGATTACCCCTCCCCCTCCAGCGGTCCTCCCACGGCGGCCATGAGGCGAATAGCTTCCACTAACAAATGCCCATCTTGCACATTGCACTGTTGGTCGAGGTACCTCCGTCAAGCTGGTACAGGTGTTTCCGCTCTCGGCCGTTTGCCTACGGGGGGTGGTCACATTGGGTAGCTTCTCGATAGTCCCGCACTGCCTTCTGGCCTGGCCCTGCCACTGGCTGGAAGGATTCTTGATTGGAGGCCATTATACTTTGCTTAGTGGTCTGTTTGTCAGTCTGGTCTGGCTCAGAAACCAACTCGCTCTGCGCAGTCAGTATGGACGATTACCCAAGGATTTGTCCACGCGGGGGAGAGCTTTGTGAGAGCTGAGTCAACCGCCGCCCAAGCCTGCCGCCGCCCAACCAGCGGCCTGCGAAACCACGGATGTGTCCAAGCAGCAGACATGATAGCTTCCCGTCTGGTCCCCGGCTCATATAATCATGACGAGGTATGGCCCCACCGTCGGCCGGGGACCAATGGCCGCCCCTCTTGGCGCATCTTGACTGCTTGCCCTGCAACCCAAATCTTCGCTGCAATGTACCGAACCGATTTTAGTGACGCTACCTCGCCCTACAGTGCGCTATGTTTGATATACGTACCTCATGGCAGTGTGTCTCCTCACTGCTTCCGCTGCTCAGGCTGCTTAGTACTTCTATCTGGCACCTCCCTCGTCTATTTTTTTCTCCCTCTGACCTTTCTCTTCCTTCTCTCCTCATCCTTCGTCTGCCATCCACAAGCTAGGAAGC